ATATATATTAAATTATAAATATATATTTTAATAAATATTATATTATTTATATATTTTATAAAATATATAATACTGAGTCGGGCCGGGCCGGGCTCGGGCCGGGCTTTTTTGACAAATCCTGAGCCCAGCCCGAAACACAGTCGGGCTTACTGTGTTAAGCCCGAGGTCAGGCCCGTGGGCCTAATTATATGACCAAGCCCGGCCGGGTGCGGGCCGGGCCGTCGGGCTACCCGGCCCATGAACATATCTACTTACAATGTGTCTCAAGTGTACATCGGGAACATCTCCAGTACTTTGTGTTATCATTCATGGGAGATGTTCCCAATACATGGTGGGATGAGGCTATGAGGTGCATTTCGGCGCAACATTCCTCTTTTCAAGGGACTGGTAGTGATAAACTTGTCATCTGTACAGTTATTTAGGTCTGCAAAGGAATCAAATTGCATCCCATATAAGGTAGTTCCAAATTTGGTTTGAATGGAATTTGAATTGCAACAATATATTGAATCATCATCATCATCCATAACTTAAACCCACAGCTATATGTGGCTAGCTACATGAATAATGTTTTGTCAGCCCGTCCTATTTAAAGCCATATCAATCATTAAATTATAAGTGATTAAATCATTATTATTAATAAAATAAATTAAAAATAACTCATGAACAAAATATATTAAAAATAAATTTATGAAATTTACACAAATGATTTCTTAATTAAAATGCAATATTAAAACCAAAGTTACTAATGGATAATATATAAATTTTAAATGCACATTTAAATTGAATCAAATTGTATTATGAAAGTACAGGTGTCAATGGACCGGTTTTGGATTAGACCCTATCCAGTACAAAATCAATTTGGACGGACCAATAAAATATATTGGATTAGACCAATCTGGTCCAAAATATTTATTAGATTGATTGGACATGGTCTGTTCGTAACAAATTTATATTGGATTGGGTTGGATTAAGCCAATATCTGGTCCATCCATTGATATAAGATAAGAATATATGTGTCAATAGACCGGGTTTGGATTGAAACCAATCTAAATCAAAATGAATTTGACCAGATTGGATGGTTGAGACATTAAATTGGACCGGTCCAAATTGGTTCAAAACATTCATTGGATTGGATTGGACATGGTCCATTTATAATGTACTCACATTTGACTGGATCGGGTTGGACCAAATCCAGTCCAATTGGCACCCCTATATGTAGACCTATTCATGGGCCGGGTAGCCCAACAAGCTGGCCCGGCCCGATCCATTATTAAGTCGGGCTTGGTCATAATTTTACGCCCGTAGGCTCAAGCACAGGCCTAAAGCACTAGGCCTGACTTTTTTTAGGCCATGTTCGGGCTTTCTCAAAAAAGCCCGGCTCGAGCCCGAGCCTGACTTAATACAATATATTAAATAATAAAAATATATTTTATTTAATAAAATATATATATACAATATTTTTTCTTTGCTCTTTTTTTCCAAGTAATAATGAGATGTTTATTATTTTTGAGTTTTGGAGGTTTTTAATATAAATAAAATACTTTTTTTATTGAATAAAAAAATTTCTATTTTCAAATTTCTGGTCGATGAGCTTCGGATTTTATATGAAGGTTGGACTCAAGCTCAAGACTTAGGCCCAATGGTCGGGCCGGGCTCGGGCTTGGGCTCGGGCCTGAATGTATTCTGTTGATACATATACAAAACCCAGACCAAACCCGACCGGCCTGACCCATGAACAGGTCTACCTATATGAAAGTATCAAATTCGGATGCCATTTGCAGCCCTACAGTTTTTACTGTGGGAGTTGCAAAGTGCAAAGCATCATTTCTTAATCAATTGATCTTGTTGATGGTTTTTCATTAGAAAAACTTTGGCTGCTTAAATAAAAGAGCTTGGGCTGTTTTAGACCTTCCTATGCATGACACGTTGACATAGGTGTGGGGTAAAAGTGTATTTAAAATCAATATTTTTCTATTTAAGAAGACAAACAGAGACTTGAATGAGGAGGTAACATGTCATGGGAAAGAAAAAGGAAGCTACCAAACAGCCAAAGTTTCTCCATTTCTCACTTGTTTCGTTTCACTAAATCTCATACATTCATAGTGTTGCCAAGAAATTAGACAT